ATAGTGTTAGGGTTTGATAGACAAGGTAAGACACTACAAAGTTACTGATAACACTATATAGTGTTAGGGTTTGATAGACAAGGTAAGACACTACAAAGTTACTGATAACACTATATAGTGTTAGGGTTTGATAGACAAGGTAAGACACACTACAAAGTTATATAACACTATATAGTGTTAGGGTTTGATAGACAAGGTAAAACACTTCAAAGTTACTGATAACACTATATATTGTTAGGGTTTGATAGACAAGGTAAGACAATACAAATTTACTGATAACACTATATAGTGTTAGGGTTTGATAGACAAGGTAAGACACTACAAAGTTACTGATAACACTATATAGTGTTAGGGTTTGATAGACTAGGTAAGACACTACAAAGTTACTGATAACACTATATAGTGTTAGGGTCTGATAGACAAGGTATGACACTACAAAGTTACTGATAACACTATATAGTGTTAGGGTCTGATAGACAAGGTAAGACATTACAAAGTTACTGATAACACTATATAGTGTTAGGGTTTGATAGACTAGGTAAGACAGTACAAAGTTACTGATAACACTATATAGTGTTAGGGTTTGATAGACAAAGTTAGGCAGTACAAAATTACTGATAACACTATATAGTGTTAGGGTCTGATAGACAAGGTAAGACACTACAAGGTTACTGATAACACTATATAGTGTTAGGGTTTGATAGACAAGGTAAGACATTACAAAGTTACTGATAACACTATATAGTGTTAGGGTCTGATAGACAAGGTAAGACATTACAAAGTTACTGATAACACTATATAGTGTTAGGGTCTGATAGACAAGGTAAGACACTACAAGGTTACTGATAACACTATATGGTGTTAGGGTTTGATAGACTAGGTAAGACACTACAAAGTTACTGATAACACTATATAGTGTTAGGGTTTGATAGACAAGGTAAGACAGTACAAATTTACTGATATCACTATATAGTGTTAGGGTTTGATAGACAAGGTAAGACACTACAAAGTTACTGATAACACTATATAGTGTTAGGGTTTGATAGACAAGGTAGGACACTACAAATTTACTGATAGCACTATATAGTGTTAGGGTTTGATAGACAAGGTAGGACACTACAAAGTTACTGATAACACTATATAGTGTTAGGGTTTGATAGACAAGGTAAGACACTACAAAGTTACTGATAACACTATATAGTGTTAGGGTCTGATAGACAAGGTAAGACACTACAAAGTTACTGATAACACTATATAGTGTTAGGGTTTGATAGACAAGGTAAGACACTACAAAGTTACTGATAACACTATATAGTGTTAGGGTTTGATAGACAAGGTAAGACATTACAAAGTTACTGATAACACTATATAGTGTTAGGGTTTGATAGACAAGGTAAGACACTACAAAGTTACTGATAACACTATATAGTGTTAGGGTTTGATAGACAAGGTAAGACATACAAAGTTACTGATAACACTATATAGTGTTAGGGTTTGATAGACAAGGTAAGACACTACAAAGTTACTGATAACACTATATAGTGTTAGGGTTTGATAGACAAGGTAAGACTCTACAAAGTTACTGATAGCACCTTATAGTGTTATGGGTTGATAGACAAGGTAAGACAAGGTAAGACACTACAAAGTTACTGATAACACTATATAGTGTTAGGGTTTGATAGACAAGGTATGACACTACAAAGTTACTGATAACACTATATAGTGTTAGGGTCTGATAGACAAGGTAAGACAGTACAAAGTTACTGATAGCACTATATAGTGTTAGGGTTTGATAGACAAGGTAAGACATTACAAAGTTACTGATAACACTATATAGTGTTAGGGTTTGATAGACAAGGTATGACACTACAAACTTACTGATAACACTATATAGTGTTAGGGTCTGATAGACAAGGTAAGACACTACAAAGTTACTGATAACACTATATAGTGTTAGGGTTTGATAGACAAGGTAAGACACTACAAAGTTACTGATAACACTATATAGTGTTAGGGTTTGATAGACAAGGTAAAACACTTCAAAGTTACTGATAACACTATATATTGTTAGGGTTTGATAGACAAGGTAAGACATAACACTATATAGTGTTAGGGTTTGATACTGATAACACTATATAGTGTTAGGGTTTGATAGACAAGGTAAGACAAGGTAGGTATGTAACACTATACAGATGGTATGTAACACTACACAGATGGTATGTAACACTACACAGATGGTATGTAACACTATATGGTATGTAACACTACACAGATGGTATGTAACACTATACAGATGGTATGTAACACTACACAGATGGTATGTAACACTACACAGATGGTATGTAACACTATATGGTATGTAACACTAAACAGATGGTATGTAACACTACACAGATGGTATGTAACACTACACAGATGGTATGTAACACTACACAGATGGTATGTAACACTACACAGATGTTATGTAACACTACACAGATGGTATGTAACACTACACAGATGGTATGTAACACTACACAGATGGTATGTAACACTACACAGATGACACTACACAGATGGTATGTAACACTACACAGATGACATTTAACACTACACAGATGGTATGTAACACTACACAGATGGTATGTAACACTATACAGATGGTATGTAACACTACACAGATGGTATGTAACACTACACAAATGGTATGTAACACTACACAGATGGTATGTAACATTATATGGTATGTAACACTACACAGATGGTATGTAACAATACACAAATGGTATGTAACACTACACAGATGGTATGTAACACTACACAGATGGCATTTAACACTACACAGATGGTATGTAACACTATACAGATGGTATGTAACACTACACAGATGGTATGTAACACTACACAGATGACACTACACAGATGGTATGTAACACTACACAGATGATATGTAACACTACACAGATGGTATGTAACACTACACAGATGGTATGTAACACTACACAGATGATATGTAACACTATACAGATTGTATGTAACACTACACAGATGATATGTAACACTTCACAGATGGTATGTAACACTACACAGATGGTATGTAACACTATACAGATGGTATGTAACACTATACAGATGGTATGTAACACTACACAGATGTAACACTATATGGTATGTAACACTACACAGATGGTATGTAACAATATACAGATGGTATGTAACACTACACAGATGGTATGTAACACTACACAGATGGTATGTAACACTATATGGTATGTAACACTATACAGATGGTATGTAACACTACACAGATGGTATGTAACACTACACAGATGGTATGTAACACTACACAGATGGTATGTAACACTACACAGATGGTATGTAACACTACACAGATGGTATGTAACACTACACAGATGGTATGTAACACAACACAGATGGTATGTAACACTACACAGATGGTATGTAACACTACACAGATGGTATGTAACACTACACAGATGGTATGTAACAGTATACAGATGGTATGTAACACTACACAAATGGTATGTAACACTATATGGTATGTAACACTACACAGATGGTATGTAACAATATACAGATGGTATGTAACACTACACAGATGGTATGTAACACTACACAGATGGTATGTAACACTACACAGATGGTATGTAACACTACACAGATGGTATGTAACACTACACAGATGGTATGTAACACTACACAGATGGTATGTAACATTACACAGATGGTATGTAACACTACACAGATGGTATGTAACACTACACAGATGGTATGTAACACTACACAGATGGTATGTAACACTATACAGATGGTATGTAACACTACACAGATGGTATGTAACACTACACAGATGACACTACACAGATGGTATGTAACACTACACAGATGGTATGTAACACTATATGGTATGTAACACAAGGTAAGACACTACAAAGTTACTGATAACACTATATAGTGTTAGGGTTTGATAGACAAGGTAAGACATTACAAAGTTACTGATAACACTATATAGTGTTAGGGTTTGATAGACTAGGTAAGACAGTACAAAGTTACTGATAACACTATATAGTGTTAGGGTTTGATAGACAAGGTAAGACACTACAAAGTTACTGATAACACTATATAGTGTTAGGGTTTGATAGACAAGGTAAGACATTACAAAGTTACTGATAACACTATATAGTGTTAGGGTTTGATAGACAAAGTTAGGCAGTACAAAGTTACTGATAACACTATATAGTGTTAGGGTCTGATAGACAAGGTAAGACACTACAAAGTTACTGATAACACTATATAGTGTTAGGGTTTGATAGACAAGGTAAGACAGTACAAAGTTACTGATAACACTATATAGTGTTAGGGTTTGATAGACAAGGTAAGACACTACAAAGTTACTGATAACACTATATAGTGTTAGGGTTTGATAGACAAAGTTAGGCAGTACAAAGTTACTGATAACACTATATAGTGTTAGGGTTTGATAGACAAGGTAAGACATTACAAAGTTACTGATAACACTATATAGTGTTAGGGTTTGATATACAAGGTAAGACAAGATAAGGCACTACAAAGTTACTGATAACACTATATAGTGTTAGGGTTTGATAGACAAGGTAAGACAGTACAAAGTTACTGATAACACTATATAGTGTTAGGGTTTGATAGACAAGGTAAGACACTACAAAGTTACTGATAACACTATATAGTGTTAGGGTTTGATAGACAAGGTAAGACACTACAAAGTTACTGATAACACTATATAGTATTAGGGTTTGATAGTGCTTTACGACATCTCTTTACATGACGTTATCATGGTTCAGTGATCACACCTTCAAACTCATTTTCATATGACTTTTCTTTTTTCTGGGTAATTCTGAAACAGTGCTTTAAACAATATTAATTATCCTAACTGTGAAACGACACTAACTTGTGATCAGTGAATCCATTTTGAAGAATGTCAGTTTGAAAAAAAGCAATTAAACCTGTAAAATTTTTTACAGAAAATTGACATCAGAGGAGAAAAAGCGTAAGCTTGAAGAAATGATGAGTAATGCAGAATGGCGTGAGGGACAACGTAAACAGAATGTTAGTCGTTACAGGGAGGAGGATGCACAGGAGTCACTGCGTCAGAAACAGGACAAACAAGGGGACAAGTTCATAAAGTATTACTTCTCATTGTCTTTAACCATTCTCAACTGATACTTTCACTATAAAATTATATATCATTAGATACAAATTGAATTTCATTGTCTTTGATCATTCTCTACTGATACTTTCACTTTAAAGTTATATCTTATTAATTATGAATTGAATTTCATAGTTTCTGTGACTTCTGCCACGAGGAAAAATAATTCTTTAATTTTGATTTCTTATTTTAATTTGATTGCTGTCAATCACTTCAATTTTGCTTCTGCTTTATTTCACGGGCTTAATTCTTTAGACATTACACATGCTGTTATAGAAATTACTAAATTCACAAATGGTGAGGTATTAGACTCTGGGACTCTGGGCCTCTGACAAAATCTGATATTGGTAACCGTGCGAAGTGGTTGTCATCAAGAGGCATTTTCGTACAATTGTGACAAAGGAGGAGTGCCAATTTGGGCCTTCTGGCGGCCATGACCGATATTTTTTATTTCTTGTGTAGGAATTCCTTGGGGTTAGGCGGTCATGATATGACATAAAATTAAGGTCAGATCTGAGCCATTCATTAGTTATGGGGGGTAAAGTGGGGGTAAAATTCATAAACAGCTCCATTATGACAAACCTACATTATATTTTTGGATTTTTTCTTCTTAATTTTCATGTAATAATCCATATCAAAACATTCATTAGTAAAATTGATTGAAAAAAATATTCCATTGTTGAAAAGTAGGTCATGGTAATTAAGCTCATTAATTGCTAATTATATTAAAGATGAACTTAATTTTCTGCCTTAATGCACATAAAAACAATACCTTTATCATGTGTCTTGCTTTAGTAAGATTCATTTTTGAATACTTTATCGAAAAGGGAGAATTAATTAATGGGAGGGGGCGGGTTCACACTTTTGACAACTTTTGGTTGATATCAGAGTTGTCTTATGTAATTATATTAGATAATAAATATCTAATAAATAAATGTTAAATTGTACTGCATTAAGAACTGTTTAAAATAAATTGCTTGATAAATGTAGAGATATTTAAACCAGTTTGGTACGGCTGGTAGAGTTTTAAGCTAAAATGGCGGGATATAATGCCATCCCCTGACATATACCTTGTTAAGGATCTTTGTGTCTACCGGTGAGTATACATGTGCACCTTGTCTCAGACAGTTCATATACCCTTATATATACAATTAATACGTGGCAACTACACTTCACAACCTCAGCGATTTTAGTATACTTTCTTGGTTTGACTGTCACTGATATTGTACATATAATTTAGACATATAATTGTAATTCAACTGTTGTTCATAATTTTGTTCATCCAAATTAAGGTTTTAATAAGGAGTGTTTTCTAAGTTTATGCCCTGTTTTCTTTTCTTTTATCAATATGCCAGTGCACAGGCAGTGTGCTTGTTGTAAAGCACAATATAAAGTAAGGCTCTGTTGTCTGAATAAAACAGACATTCTGTCTTACTTGAAAGCAAATATTAATGATGCCTTAAGGTTTGGTGACCCCGTATGTAAAAAATGCAGGGGAAGATACTACAATCACCATTCATCTACTGAACATCCTAGTAGCAATGTAGAGCACCAGCTTGAGTCACCTGAAAACAAAAAAATCAAACTTGACATTCCACGGGCTACATTAGGTGAATCTCGATGTTTCATTTGTAAAATGTTAAGAGAGGAATGTAAAAGTAAAATGGTAATGCTCTCAACAGAAATGCGAGTAAAGATTTTTATTAAGACAGGTATCCTTGTCCCAAACACCTGCAGATGTTGTTCTTCCCACATAGTGAATGGTGATTTCCCATCTGATAGTCTATCTTCACTCGCATATTCCAGCAAAGACACTGAACTGGATTCTTCTGAAATATCAGAGATCCTTTTGACACTTAGGGCAGCTGCTTCAAAGAAAAGTTGTTTAGACTTTGATTCCTCAGATGGATTAACTGATCAAGATTACTACCGTCTCACAGGTCTGTATAAAAATCAATTTTCTGACCTTTTACGATCAGTTAATCCCTCTCTTTACTCTACACTGAACAGAAGCGCAAGGACTGCATTAGCCATCCTGCTTGTAAAGTTGAGGACTGGCATGTCTTAATCAATATTAGCTTCTCTGTTCAACATGACAAAGAGAATATGTGGAAAATGTATTCATTCAGCTCGCCAAGCATTGATGACCCACTTCGTTCCTTCACACCTTGGCCTGCAACACATCACTAGAGAACAAGTAATTCAAAACCATACAACGGTATTTGCAAGGAAGATGTTTGCCTCTGGTGAAGATGTCGCTATAGCTGTTGCTGATGGCACATATATTTATGTTGAAAAGTCCAGCAACTATACTTTCCAACGACGCTCTTTTTCGATGCACAAAGGACGCCCTCTCCTGAAACCAATGCTTCTTGTGGCCTCAGATGGCTATATACTGTCTGTCCTAGGCCCATATTTAGCAGACGGTCGAAATAATGACGCCAACATTACAAAACACATGTTGAAAACTAACACTGAGAACATCAAGGATTGGTTTCAAGATGATGATGTTCTTGTCGTTGACAGAGGCTTCAGAGATGTGACAGAACTGTTGAATGATGCTGGCATCAAAACAGAAATGCCATTTTTCTTGCCAAAGGGGCAGAAACAACACACACATACTGAGGCAAACAAATCTCGTCTTGTAACAAAGGTAAGGTGGGTTGTGGAGTCGGCAAATGGGCGGATTAAGCAGTGGAAGACCTTGGGACATGTTTTGCCCAACACTTTCATTCCAGTTGTAGGTGATTTTGTGAGAATTGTGTGTGCAATTTGTAATGCTTTTCGCCCCCCACTTGCCTCTGATTCTCCCAATGACCTCATCATTGCTGAGCGAATGTTGGCTCTGTCAAAATGTCCCAATAAATTGCAAATTCAAGTTGAAAAAGAAGGTTTGGCTAGGAAAAGAGCCATATGGGTCAAGCTTGATGAGGCCAGTTTGCCTGACTTTCCTCAGCTGACAGAACCGGAGTTGAGAGATCTTACCATGGGAGTATATCAGTTGAAGCAGGCAAAGTCATATACCATGGAGCACTTGTCTGAAGATGGCCAGTATGAATTAATGGCATGCAGGGAAAAGCCTGGCTTAATTAAAGTTCAGATTCGTTCCGGACATGTTGCTTCGAAACTGTACAACCTGTGGATTGAGTATTCCCCTGGTTTGACTCCTATATCTGGTTGGTATTGCCAGTGTAAGGTTGGTGCCAGGGTAGTGGGCTGCTGTGCCCATATTGCATCTGTTCTCTGGTACCTTTCTTATGAGCGACACCAGCCTAGGATAGCACACCCAACTGCCTCGTCAAGCTACCTCAGCTGTGCTGATGACGCAATGATGATTGAGGACTGGTCTGAGTCTGACAGTGACAATGAGTAACTAACTATGTGTACAACCATTGTATGTATAGTGGAGTGAAATGCAACACTAGAGGTTAAGATTGATATCTTTCATTAGCCATTTCTGTGTTAATACTGCGGTAAAACCACTAGATACAGACATATGGTCAAAGTTGTCGAACTAAAATTCAAAGCACCGCCTCTTCTTTGTTTTCTTTAAAGTATGCAAAAATATTTCTTATTAAAACATGGTACATGATAAAGGTATTGTTTTTATGTGCATTAAGGCAGAAAATTAAGTTCATCTTTAATATAATTAGCAATTAATGAGCTTAATTACCATGACCTACTTTTCAACAATGGAATATTTTTTTCAATCAATTTTACTAATGAATGTTTTGATATGGATTATTACATGAAAATTAAGAAGAAAAAATCCAAAAATATAATGTAGGTTTGTCATAATGGAGCTGTTTATGAATTTTACCCCCCACTTTACCCCCCCATAACTAATGAATGGCTCAGATCTGACCTTAATTTTATGTCATATCATGACCGCCTAACCCCAAGGAATTCCTACACAAGAAATAAAAAATATCGGTCATGGCCGCCAGAAGGCCCAAATTGGCACTCCTCCTTTGAGTCTGTGATTGACTGTCCTCTATATTTGTGTGATATAAATCCCACATGATATATAAGTGATTCACAGTAATAACTTCCAGTTTTCATTCATTTCTTCTTGAAGTACAAATATTTATATTCCTATGTGTTTTTGATCTCATTGTATTGGCAATGATGATTTTTTTTTCGCAGTTCAATGATGTCCAGTCATGCAGAAAAGAGCTCAGTGGCAGACCGAATCAAAAGGAACAAGTACAACATTCAGAGGACCAATGTTGATATGAATAAAGACTTTCTGAAGAAGTGACCATAGAACTTTCATACGTATTAAAACATTATAAACTCATATTTTTTGCTACTGTTGGAAACTAGAATTGTTTGTAATTAAATAAGTGATCATGATTCCTTCATTATATTTGTTTTTTGTACACATTGATGATATGCTTTGTATTGTGAATAGAGGCAAATGATTGGTTCATTTGACATGCTATGACAAAAATGATTGGTTCATTTGACATAATGTGACAAAAATGATTGGTGCATTTGACATGCTATGACAAAAATGATTGGTTCATGTGACATAATGTGACAAAAATGATTGGGGCATTTGGCGTGCTGTAACAAAAATGATTGGTTCATTTCTTATGTTGTGACAAAAATGATTGGTTCATTTAACATGCTGTGACAAAATGATTGGTTCATTTGTTATGTTGTGGCAAAAATGATTGGTTCATTTCTTATGTTGTGACAAAAATGATTGGTTCATTTAACATGCTGTGACAAAATGATTGGTTCTTTTGTCATGCTGTGACAAAAATGACATCAAAGAAGTAACTATATGAATCGCCAAACCTCAAAAGCTATTATCACGTTCTACAGTGTACATATTAGCCCAAGTGAATAGTGCTGTAAAAACGGAACATAGGTGAGAAGGTGTTGGCTTATCCTTATATTTTAAGAAACAGTGGTTGTAGGAGATCCCAAAACGGATCAGTAGCCATCTTGGATAAAGGATGAGAGGCAGAGCCCCTGTTTGATACTGCAAACAAAATTTAAAAACAAATTCTAATTTAACTTACGGAGGGGTGCAAACCTCTGGTTTATAGAAAATTGAGTATCCTTAGCTCTGTGGTGTCAACTGATTCGAATATGAAGGACGAAAGGTACATTGATCAAATGTTTAGAAAAATTCAAATGTAAAGCCAAGAGTCACAATATTGGCAGCAGTATGCTTTGGTAATGGTCTTTCAAGTTTTCTGAAAATGAGTTTTTCATGTCTTAATTTACGGGCCCATTGTGACCCTTGTAATAGGGTCGTATAACATACATAGAGTGATGGTAATTTTCTTTCTCACCTGGTCCAAAAGGACAGGTAACATAATGTCATTGGCACGGCCTTCTGGGGCGGGAGGGGAGGGCACCAATAGGGAAATAGAGCAAATTCTTTAAAATTCTACTCCTCCTATATGAATGATAATATTTTGCCCAAAGTTGGTCTGAAGCATTCTCAAGTGAAGTGGGATCATTTGATATAAATGATAGGTCTTGGTCCCCTTGGATGGGAGGAACAGGACCAAATATAGGAAATAGAGAAAGTTCTTTAAAATTCTTTCTCTGTAGAAATAAAAGGATTCTGTCCGAATTTTATTTGAAGTTTACTTGATTGAAGGGGAATCAGTTTTGTATAAATAGTACATTTTGGCCCCCTATAGCAGGAGGGACAGGCATCAATAAGGATTTCAATATGTCAGAAATTAGTTTTCATATTTAAAAGTCTTTGTTAAAGGACTGATTGGTTGAATTAGGCGAGGTTAGCGATGCAGGCCCCCTGGGCCTCTTGTTCAACACGAAACTTCACACAGATAAGGGAACTGCTTGCCTGGGATTTGATTTTGGAGCAAAACATCAAGCGCCAAGGTTGCTAACCCCAAGAATAGAACTGAAAAAAATACTGTAAAAAACATAGTACAGTGTATATGTTTCTGGTAAATATTTTTTACCACAAGATGAAGCACTGAACAAGAAATCAGTCATTTTTATCTCCGTAACCATTCGGTTAAGTTCGGATTTGTGTCGTTTACTGTGTTAGTATCGTTGATAGATATTTAAATTGTCTTTCAATTATATTTTCTTCCTTGACTTTTCTTATCGACATTTCTGTACCATTCTGGATAACAGCAACTTGTGAGACTTGTTGATATGAAGCTTCAAAACACTGAAACTGTCCGAACGCTCGGAAGTTTTTTTTTTTTTTGTTTTTGTTTTTTTGTCAATTTTGAAGATAAAGATAAATATCTTCCCAAAAATAAAAATTCTTAACAATTTCTCCCAGTAAAAGTAGATATTTTCCCTGTCTATAACAGAACTTCGGTTGATTTAGCTTGTGTCAATTGTCCTCAACTAGGGCATAGATACCACATGATGAGTGATAAATGTTTGATACTGTCCCATACATATAAATAGTCATTATTCCTTATCGTGTCGTTAATGTTCAGTAACGGGAGATTAAAATGTCGTTAATGATTCAGGAATGGTTGTCATTATCTAACCATCTGATGGAATCATTGCAGTATTAGAGTTTGATTGGCCACTGTAACACTGTAAAATAGAACAGAACATTGTACTGACACCATCGTTCAACAGGCAGAAGACTAGAAACACAAGATGAGGACATTTCAGGTTTTTTTATTGATCTTTTTGTGTTTTACAGGTAAGTTACTTTGTATTTCAAAGTGTATTAGCATACTTGTTAGTCCGGAACTGGGAAATAATACATACATACTACAATTTTTATCAACTTATCAATAATATTCTGAAATGAAGGAAGGGACGTTAATATGTAAATTGTAACGAAATGTCATACACTTAATACAAATTATCTATATAAGGGTACGTTTTAACCTTTTCATATTAAAATCGAGCTCACTTTTACTAGAAAGAGATTTCCTCGGGTACCCAAAAGCCACATTATATAACACTTTTTAACATCATGTACAAGGAGAGTCTTTCTTCGGGTTGAAATTGAGGTCATAGTTACAATACATAGAAATGATAGTCGTGCTTTTGTCCGATGGTCAACTTCATACAGCCATTAACGATACCCAGCTCAGTAAGATAACGTCTTGGTCACCTTGGGGCCGTAATAGCTCAGTCGGTTAGAGAAAAACAAAGAATATTGGCCTACATAACCCCCTGTGAAGATCAGAGGTCCGTGCTTCGACGCTCCCTGTCCTTGTCGCATTGTGTTTCTCAGTACGCTGAGAAACGGACAGGGGAAGACACTTCACCCTATTCGCTCTTAATGGCATACGATGGGTCTCCGTATGTTGTTCAGTGAGTTAGTCACCAGTTACTACAAGGAAACCCCACCTTATATTGACCCTGGCTGTTCATGGGACGATAAATCCAGCAAGCAGCAAACAGACAAAAACGTCCATAGGTAATTAAAATTTCTGATATCAATAAAACTGATTAAAACAATGACATTAAGTCGGTTGTATTGAACAAAACACATTTCATACTGTTGTTTGATCCGATCGATAATCATGTCCTTTCAAACATGTTTGCTTTTATGATAGAATCTTGGTGCAGTTAGAATATTATTATCTCTGATGCCTTGTTTAAGTACATGTTTATACATTCTATCTGAGGTCAACATGTCCATACATATCTGTTTTTATCCTCTCTATCATTATATAATCTCTGTAATGTTCGATATATTGGCAAAAGTTTATTTTTTTCATCTCATGTCGGAAATTAAAAACGGTTTTTAATCATCAATTTTACCGTTTAGTGTTGGCGTAGAAATTCCCAAATGCTTGAATCATTCATGTGGTAAATATTAAATGGTACTGAACATTTCATTAAGATGTCTAGAGGATTGTATCCATGGACACAACGTAATGAGTTTCAGAGTACGTAACACAATCGTTTATTGACGAGGATATCGTGTTTAAATGAAAAGTTGTACATATACACTTGGTACTCTAACGATTTAGATAAAATGATAAAAAACTGTTGTTTGCTCCCGGCGACAAGGATAGCATTGTCCAATGTCAGATATTTACAAAACTTTATATTTCCAATCTGTTAAACGTTTGGACAAAAGTCTCCAGTGAATTGCGATTGAAATCTAGTAATACATACGGTATATGTTAAATAATTAATTAAAATACATCATACAGGTGTGTCATCTTTAGTGATACTGGGAGTCTACTGGGGGAGATCTGTAATTCGACTGCATTATACAGGTGTATCACACTTCGATGACGCTAAGAGTC